CCGCCTCCCCTCTTTCCCCGCCTCCCCCCTCCCCCCTTTCTCCCCGCGAGTAGTTTTGATAAGTAATAAATATTGGATTTGTGAAGACGATGGAAATTTACTTGTTTAGCTGACATTTTTCTATCCCAAAATTTTAATGGCAGCGCTTTAGATCAGTTCAGTTAATATGTTTTCAGAGCAAATTTTAGTGTTCTGATTATTTTTTTAGGCCTCAAAGGAGAAGTATCATTTACGACAGGGAATTTCTGATGTGCAACGAGCTTTGCGTCGAAATGAAACCGGTATTATAATTCTTGCAGGTAAATAATTGGCTTGTGGCTTACATTACTCTTATTTTTTCTACCTTGTTGTTCAAGGAAGCCGTTATTGAAAGGTCGGTACTCTTCCACCTGCTAAGAGTAAGAAGTTCGTTCGCGCTGAAAATAAACGCGAAAATTGACGCAGAAAACACGAATGCTGGTGGATCTAAGTTTCAAGCAGATAGCGCGGAATTCAGCACGAAATTTAGTTTCAAATCATAGCGAGGAAAAAAAATAGCCATTTTTTTTTCTTTTCATTTCAGGAAATGCCTGGCCAATAGATATTTACTCGCACCTTCCGGCTATTTGTGAAGAAAAAGATATTCCATACATTTTCACACCCTCGCGACAGCAGCTTGGATTAGTGACAGGTAACCGGTTATGCCTGTGTAGAAATTTTGCTTATTTTAACTTGATGAGACAGTTCTTGGGCACTACACATGATTGCCTCCTTATGTAAAAAACCCAGTTATTTCTACATTTCTTTCATTCCCTGTAAATTTCCTTTTATGGACGATTGTTCTTATAAGGAAGTAGAAGGCAGTACGGGCCATAACAGCCTTGTAAGCAGTAGAAAAAGGCTAAGGAACTCATGGACAGGAACAACGGCCAATTCAGCAAAGAGTAAAGACCAGTAGGGGCAGTACAGGCCCTATAAGGAGGCTATGAACAGCCCGTCGGAGAACAGCGGTCACCAACAATAAACCAGCAAAGTAAAATATAGCAAGGAAGTAGGGTTAAGGATTTCGAGGTGGCAAAAAGGCTACAACAAATCCTATATTCCCTCCGACTTTAAAAAACAGGAAAACGACTGCTTGAATCACCAGCAGGCCCTTGTCATTAGCGGTAGAAGTAAGCTACTGGGACAGGAACTGATCAGTCACTGTGTAGTACATGATTATTTTAGGTTCGAGCAAATCTTTGAAAATTGAGTTTTTTGCTAATTTCCCCGCATTTGAGCATATTTTTGTTCTCATATACTGTTGTGCTTTCAGTGAAATTTTACCCTATTTTTCTTGAATTTTAGGTCACAAAAGGGCAGCAATAGTGGTGTTGATTAGGGAACATGAAAGCTACTCAGAATTGTTCCAAGAAGTACGAAATATGATTGCAACCACTGCACCGCTTGTTTGATCTTCATGAATCATGCTATTGGTTTTTGTCCCCTTCCGGTCCTGTTATTGATTTTTTTTTTTTTTGGTATTGTCATGTTGACGATCTCTTGTTCATTCGAGGTGTTTTTTTTCGTGGGCCGAGTTTTTAAAAGCACAAAAAATAGGCGCATTTTTCCCTTTTCAGAAAATTGCGTAATGAATTTTATGGTTTCCCTTATTCCTTAATGCGCAGTGAAACAGTATCGGCAAGAGATTTTGAAGGGGAGTTACGGAATCAGATAACTGGATGAGAGTTTCATTATTTTCATGTACTGAGATTTGATATTTCTTCGAAATACCGAAAACTGAATTGGCAGGATTTTTGGTCCCTGGGATAATAATTCTGGTATTTGCAAAAGTGTGTTTAAAGTCTGAAGTTTCAAAAGGATGGATTTTATTACTGTGCGGTTCCTCGTTAGAAACACTTCTAATGTTGCATAGAGACACTTCTTTTGTTTCATTTTTTTTTTGTGTTTGAAACGTTGTTTCTATTTTTTTAAGTGAAATAAAATTTCGAATTTTTCATTTGCACTGCCTTCAGAAGCTGATTTATTAAATGAAGAAACAATAAATATTGTTAAATGAGCAAAAAAAAAAAAAAAGTAGGAGAAGCAGCAATAACAATTTCGATAACATCAGTAATAGTAATAGTAGCAGACTGGAATTGTATATAAATAAAGAAAGTGAGAAAACTCGTAACGGATATAATTAAACCGGGTTCTGTTTTCTTCACTTGTACAAATAAAATGATGAAGGAAATTTACTGGTACCACTTGCCGTCATCATTACACTGGAATGGAGTTAATTAAGTAGACGGTGAGTGGAATGAAAAAAAAAAAAACAACAAAAAAATCTTGGGATATTAACGAATTCAAATATCTCAGGCATACAGGGTTGTTTCAGAGATTCAGTGGCAAGTAATGGATAATAAGAATAACAAATATTGTCACAGACTGCAGTGCGGTAAATCGCCGCGCACCGGGTTTTTTGATGACAGTAATAAGTTATGTATATGCATACTGTATATACCCGTTCTGGTCTCTTAGCGGTACTGGTATTCTTGATACCAGGTGCAAAGCTTGCTGAGCAGGGGAAGTAGGTCTTCCAATATTGATTCGTAGATCCTCTTGACCGGTAATTTGCATAATATGCAAATTAAGAGGCTTTGGGGTTAAGCTTCATGGTTCAAGCTTCGGGGTTATTACAACAAACAAGGATTAAGTCGTAGCTGAATTGGAGATTTCTGTACGCTTCTGGGGAGTTCACTCCCTCGCGTACACGACAGATGCTGCTTTCGCAGTTGATAGGCATGGAAAAGAAACATCACTGGTTTCTGACCAACGTAGAATCCGGATCTTTGGCCGGAACAGTGACTCTTCGTAGTTAAGTTGTCGGACCTTAGTTCTTTGTAGCTACAGGTAGTTACTTAGTTCTTAGTTCGAATCTTAGTTTTTTGTAGCTACAGGTCATTAAAACACTACACCGGACGAGTATCCATCAAGGGACAATCGTAACAGGCGCGAAAACCCGGTCTGGTACTCACAGTCTAATTGAAAAAAAATGAAAAAAAAAACGACTGGCGAGATTGATGGAATTACAAATGATTACAGTAATCCACTTGAATGTGTCGTAATCGTTATTACAATTACTGATGAACCAAATAAGCAGCTATTTTTGGAACAATTTGCGCACAAAAGCGACAACAATACAGCAATAGCTATTGTATATTACAGGGTACGGTAGCACAGCTACCGTTTGTACTGTATCATAAAGCAGAGCGGCACTAACATACACATTTCATACGGTACGGTGCCTTTTTTAAGCAGTGGTGCGACTCATAAAAAAGCATTGCAACGACTCAAAAAGGTCGGAGCGTCCCACTATCGAACTCGGGAAATGACATTTTTCTAGAAAAGAAAAGCCATGCTAAAATTTCGGAAAAAAATTTTTTAGACTAAAAAAATGTAATTTGTAACTGAATGAAATATCAGCATGTGTAACATTTGTTAACTATTCAAAAAGTTCCGTCTATTCTAGCTATCATGATTATTCCAAAATGAATAATTTATCTTCGAGTTTTATCATGGTTATCCATGAAACGGAGTTAATCATGAAGACATTCATGAAAAACGTAACTCCGGCTTTTTTTCGGAGTTGCCACTGTGCTGGCAGTATATAATCATGAAAAAATTATGATTATATATAAAAGAAGGAAACCTTTTTTGGGACGCTCACAAACGACCCGCCTGTTGCAGAAATTGTCACATCCAATACACAGCAATTCCTATCTGATCCGAAACTACAGCAACACATTCGTAGGATCAGAAAGCATTTTTCTATAGCATACGCATTTCGCGAGATTGAGAGTGGAACATGCAGATTTATTCCTGTTGTCCGTGGATAATCTGCTTCCTGGATGCAATGCGTATCGGTGCTCGATGGTTGACGAAACTCACAAAAAACAGGTTTTTGGCTGACGACATGTTGCCATTAAAGCATGGTACAGAGGTTGCGAATACGCTGTCGGGCACGACGTAACGGTGCAGATCGGCTTGTACGCGAATGCTCACCGGGACTGAGATCTGTAATTCACACATGAATAAATCAGCATGTACACTCGCTTTTAGGACAGAGCCCTTCAAAGCACTGCGCTTGCTCTCATATACTTCCTCACCACATTCGTTTCCACGAAGGTATACAAGGTAGAGCGGATCGCTAGAAAATTTCGGTTCATCCAAAAATGAAAAAGCAAGAACACGGAAAAAATGAAAATATATAAAAAGCGCCAGCCAACCAAGACTGCTGGGCAACCCACAGATGATAGTGATGTTACTACAAAACTATCATACGCCCAGCATAGCAGTACCAGACCGTTTGATCGTACGCTACATATCTCAGTTACTGCCATCACCTGTTCCATTTACGCGTGCCATCTCTTCAGAAGCTACTCGAGTACTTGTTTACCTTTCATATGTACTATTTACAAATTCGCGATGCCCAACAGTTATGGGCAAGGCAAACGGTGTAGCCGCCCATAGAATTTTACTTTCTCGCGTATTCGCAATGATATCCTGCACACTGCTCATCTAGTGGAAAGTCTAAGTGCATACAAACAGAGAAGGTGGCACTAAAATTCATACAGAACATAAGGAAAAAATTGGCCAACGCACGGGCTGCCCGTGCGAAGATGCGTTTTTTGCAGAGTTCCCTGCAGT